CTAGAATATTACTTATTATTTAAATTAACAATAAAAATATATCATTCGACAACGTGATGGTAAACATAATATGCTTAACTTCAAAAATTTAGATAAATGCACTAAACACCAATATCATCAATTTATAAAATTATAATCAATTATGTTATGCATTATTCCAAATTAATCAAGATTAAAAATTAATCACAATTTCTAAAATTGTGATAATATTGAAAGATAAAAATGTAATATAAAATGTGATTGAAAAGGCAAAAACCCATTCACATTTACAGATAAAAAAAATAAATCTAAAAATGAGTTTCAACCATAAGGTTTTGAAATCAATTCATAATTAAGCAAGGTATGACCTGATGAACTAATAATGGTTATAAAATCATCCGACTGCAAATCATAAAAATGTTGTGTCTGAGAAATTAAGGTTAATTGGTGCAAATGATAAATAAAAAAAATATATTTAAAGCGGAATTTATCTTCAAATTTCATATAGCATTTCTCATTGCTCTATAATACTGTTTTCGCGTTAGCTATTTTAAATTGGATATTGTAACAGAAAACAAGAAGTGCAATTATATTTTGCAAAACTGTTACCAAGTAGACCATAGTCGGTTTTCGAAACAAATCGCAGACCACAATCTATCCATATCTGGGTATCGTTACAAAGGTGATAACGATAGACACGCATGTCAGATAGAAAAATAATTTGTTTTACACATATGGTGAACTGAGTGGTTTTGTTTATGAATTTATCATTACACTGACTATGACTTTTGAAGTCATAAACTATAAAATCTGTTAAAACCACAGATCAATATAGTGGAGCCATAGTGTACGCGCCCTGGTATGTCTCCAACGACACCAAGATCTAAACATCAAATATGTACAGAAGGTTAGCAAGGAGAAAAACATGAAATGTTACCGAAAAAACAAATGTCATCTAAACACCCCAATAAAAAATTTGCTAAAACAAGTTTTCATCAGAAGACTGAAAAGAAAGTGACCGCAAGATCTAATGATTTAACAGACAAGCAATATATTTATGTAAGGAAATTCCTCAATAAGGAAATTCCTAAACGCCATGTACCCAACAGCAAATAACCTCATTGTACCAAATGTTCAGATCGGTTATGAGAAATAAATGAAAAAAAATCTTCAATTTTGATAGAATAATGTTATCATCAAAATGTTCCGCATGGAGTGGATACAATATCTAGTTGTTCATGGAACAAATCTGGTACTTTATATTTACAAATAATATTCATGTAAAAATGTTACTATTTAGGAGGAACTTCAATTTTATATAAACTTATTGACAAATATATAAAATTGCAATATTTGAATTTTCTCTTCATTATCAAACTATCCAACACACTGATATATCCCAGATTCAAATATGCGCAAGATTTTCTATATCTTGTAACCATTTGCTATATGCTTCCATTTGATGGAGAGATAACATTAATCTTCATAAATGTTACTAAAAAGAAAAGAGTTTCCGCAAAACTTGGCTATATATATATGTAAATGTCTGGCAATATTCCCAAAATCTGTATTTAGTTTATTGTACACAAACTAATTTACACTTGTAAATTGATACAAAGTTTCAATTAAACTTTAATATTGCTATTTGTATGAAATATGAAATAAAATCCGCCTATCAAGTATCGCAAAGAAATTGCCTACAATGTCTGATCATGTACCTTATCAGACAACTAATTGGCAAACCTAAATAATAACCCAATAAAAAAGAACTTGAATAACAAGTATAAGGATTTGCTTAGCTATTAATGGTTGCTTTGATGAAAAAAATTCCTCGAAATAGTTTTATTTTTTAGAATATATATATATATATATATATATATATATATATATATATAATACAAAATCAAAAACTTATAGATTATAAGATAATCATAGTTAACTGACTTAAGAATAGTCTAAATTTTAACAAATAAATCTAGAAATTTCAAATAAAAGTTAGATACACTAGCCTCGTAAGCATATAATATTTATTATGAAAGCATTAAAAAATAGGGACAACTTATTTGCAGCTATAAATGAATAATTGTCTCTAATACTCTATTTTTACAAGGATAAGTATACTATGTATAGACTGTTTTGATTTAATTAAGCAATATCATTTATAGAGTTCCAAGTTTTATATTTTAATAAAATTTACTGTTTTCATAGCTTTACAATTTATTACGATAACATTTTAATAATCAGCTGTCGTAAATCATCGGATTTATTAAAGATTCCATCATGCTAACCGGTTGTAAATTTATGTTTGAATTAACTTGTTCAATCTGCGGTATTTTTATTGTATTGTGCTTACCTCTATCGCATTCTACCAAACATGACAGGATAATTAGAATTAAAGTACATCAATTACATTTCAAATAAGCACGAATAGACGCAACTAAATTTTTAGAATAACCACCCCGCGTGTTTTGCTTCCAGCCAGCGGCCGATTGCGGTTACTGATACTGAAAGCTCTGTAACTGTTAAATTGAAATATCGGTTGTACAAAATACAAATATCGCTAAAGGCACGCATTGCGTGTCTCCTGGGCGTTTTCAACCATTAATTAGACGAATTAATGAATATTAATCCCGACGCTTAAAAGGTTTTCAGAGTCAAAGCGTGCCCGCACCACACGCCTAGGGATGACAGATGGGAGATAAAAATCGAAGTTAGGGTTTTTTTTTTAAATTACAACATTAGATTTTGTTCAACCAAAGTTGGGATATCGAATCAAAACTAGTAATAGAATAAATATACTTATACTTCATGATCGCAATCATAATTAACATGTCAAATTATAGCTCCAAATCTCTATCATATCCAAAATAATCAACAACTTGAATTCTACCACATCATTCAATAAGAACATCTTGATGTTATTTAAAATTTAAATATTTTGTTAGAATGCATGAGGAACGAATGACGACCGCATAATTTTAAACAATTGATAAGCTTTATATAATTATTATAAACGATATTTGAATTACAAACGAAAAAAATAGAAAGCCCACAAAGTCCATAAAAATTGTAGTATAAGTATTTGTCAAATTGTAGCTCTACATGTTTGATATCCTAAACATTCCATGTCTTGAATCATATCATATTCTTCAAAATAGGTTTATCTCAATGTCATTCTAAATTCAAATACTATATTACAATGCAAAAGAAATCCAGACTTATTAATGGCATAACTTTAAAATTATTCACAAATAAAATTAGTAGATCCACAAGGTCCACTCTCCTCCTTTGAAAAGTTAATTAACATTTCCCTCATTTTTTATTTATTTATTTCCCGAATTACATAACCAATGTCTTAACGTAAACTATAAATTTACCCATAACTGTATGTTGAAATAGTATGTACATTGTATTTATTTTTAAAACCTCTAAGCAGATTTGTTTAGAAACATAATTATAATGTTTGTATAAAAAATCTACATAAACCCTCAATCACAAATAATACTTTTTACTTTTATAGAACAAAAAACCTTTACCGAATTGCTTATATTTATTGTACAATATTTTTTAATATACGACCTCAATGATATTCTGAAGTCTCAAGTATGGAAATCAATATGAAAGCTAAAACATATGTTATACATGTAGAAGTAGAAGCTCCTTTTCTTCGTAAAATCTGTACAAATATTAAATTTGCCAAGTTAATAAGTTCTATTTTATTTATTTAATCGGTTAATGAGTGTTGAACTACAGATTTTTTTTTTTGTAATTCTGCATTAGCAAGTTTATACTCACTAAATTGAATTTTATGAATATTTTCACAAAATAATTAATTAAATACAAATTTAAATAAAAATACTAATTAAAATAGATAATTGAATTTAAAGAAAAATTAAAAATTATACAGTATATAAACACATTAACACATCATAAGTTATGATCTGTTACATGTGTTTATATACTCTATAGTTTTTAATTTTTCTTATTTTTATATGTATTTTATATCCTTCTGTAGTATCCTTATATTGTATAATATGGAATCCATATAGTTATGATTCATAACTATATAGATTCCATATTATAGAGTATAAGGATACGTATATAGAGTTATAGAATTAGAAGAGATTTATCTCTAGTTATATCTATAGTTATGCCTTTGATTGCAAAATACCTAGCCTGCATTAACTTAGCAATAATAAATAGTTAAGCTAATGATTTAATAATAATTTCGATTATTTTTTCATTTTTCTCATCCCTATCTATTCACCAAGTTATAAAGACGCGTGATCTCTACAATGTCTAATTGCGACGCACAGTTGTAATAAATCAGAACGACACCCGTTTTGTACGTAATGTGACATAGTTACCTAAGAAGCAATTTCTTATCGAATAAATCATAAAAGACAATAACAGACAACCGGAAATTTCCACTAATGTCCTCCTGTGTGTAGGCCAGGTGCAAATTGCTTAGGGACAAAATTAATCATGGAGGTGTATGCCATGCGCGTGGATTTAGGCTGCTAATGTAGCTAATTTAATAATAAATAGGTGTACGTATGTCGAAATAGCACACTATTATAATATAATCATGCCATTAAATTTTAAAGACCGTTTAACCCTTTTCACTCGCGCATTGCAAAAATAACGCGTATTTTATTGCGACATCTGAGTGGAAAGGATTAAAATCAACGTAATATATTGCGATTTGTATTAAAACATATTTTTTTAAATGTATAATACATTGCGTCTAATTTTAAATGAATACAAATGGTGTGATAGTGTTATTATTAGTGATATATTTTAAGTATAAATTTCTCATTTTAGACCTTGGAATTTATCTAGTAAATTCTCAAAAACTTTTAAAAGATTTCGATGAACAATAATTGTAGAGAATCTTCGACGCCATTTAATAAAAATGAATTTTCATATATATATAAATATATATATATATATATATATATATATATGTATGTATAAATATACATGTACATATTAATAATAAGTTAACAAATACCACTTACTTGATCAACACCATTGGAGTTCTCGTCTTGTTCCAAAACATCGTTTTCAATTTGTTTAGTCTCCTGTCTGAAAATAAATACAAGTTTAATGATATCAGGTGATCGTTTAAATCTATTTTAAGAATTTTATACGATAATATGCCTTAGAAAAAATTCAAAAAATTCAAAACTCAACATAAAATACGTTCAATAATTATCTTTCTATTTATTCTAGAATTAATTAAATTTATAAATAAAAAATAACAAATAATGAATTACCTTATTATAAATTTATATTATTTATATAATACTTTACACTATATATTAATGTATAAATAACAAATAGTGTACTAGGTGTATATATATATTATATTGAAAATATATATAAATTATACTGTAAGGCATATTGAAAGTATTAAGATTAGGCAAATTAAGATCAGATTTAAGACAACATAATTATAATGCCATCTTTCTTTTATAACGCACTATGGCAAAGTTCATAAAATTTACAAATTACAATTAATTACAAAATACAAAGAATTTCGAAGCTAACAAAATGATATTAAAAATTCTTCAACATATTCTGATTATGTATACATGAAAGTTAGTTCATGTGGAAAATTTTAAATTAAATATTCTGCCAATATATAAAAAGCTTGCTTACATTTTTATTTGAAGAATGGAAAGAAAATTTAATCTTCACATTTATATGTGCAAGAAGTTAATCTCAGATTACACTTCAAAGGCATTATTAATCTTTTGTCCGTTCTTCGTTTAATTTTAATTCCAGGCGTAGTATATATCATATGGGATTGTATATTATGCACATATTACAGAGGTGTTGAAACATCCATGAGTTTAGATAAATATTAAATAGTAATAATTTATAGAAACATTACTAGAATTACCATAAATCTGGTCCATAATTTATAGAGCAGTAGCAAGTAAAACAATGGCGTTTAATATGAGGGTAATTAAATTATTTATGAAATATAATATAATATATTCTATGGGTCAAAGTGATCAATATGATGGTAAATAATTAAATGCAGTAAATGCACGTAGCTGCAACGATTAAATATATAAATTTTGGAACATCATATTATATATACTATACGTATATATTTTTATACAGGCTGTTATTTTAGTATATATTGATTGGCATTGGAAGAGGTACTGAATTGTATAATAATCAAAGATCTAGCCAACCATTTTAATCACATCAAACTGTTCTTGAAAATATTTTATAAAATCAAAATTTTCATGGTTGAAGATGCACCGAAAAACCAAAAACAAAACAAGTGCTCCAAGTGCTTCAATTGTTCATTTAAAAATCAATTTCGCACAAATTTGCGGGCATTTTAACACAATTTTTTTTAATGGTCATCGGTTACTTAAAATATTGGAAAACACGCTCAATCATACCAAATAATATGTCCCACAACATAAACGTTGTTAAATTGAACCACTCGATGTCATTTATATAGTTGACATTAATTACATATTTGGTTAATAGTGTAAAGAAAACTCTCAATCAACTCAATTTTCCATGTGTACATTCATTACATACACCTGTAACGTCGAAATATTACAAGCTACATAATTGGATTGAATTTTAGATCGCGTTTTGAATAACGTTAACGAGAATCACATAATAATAAAACATTAATATAAAGGCCTTGTTACAGCCGACGTATGAAAGTATTATGAAAGATTAAAACTATATGATAAAAATTTAATCGAGACGCATTACAAACTGATCATAAATAACACTCATCATGATAACATAAATTTCAAGTAATAGCATATCATGATTCATTCCATTCGTGTTTAAAATGTTGTAATAAAAATTGATTTCTAATTTATGTTACCCAAATTCTATATGAAGGCAGGAGAAATTTACAGTGAGATTCTCTATTATTAGTATTAGTGCTCTATATAAATCGAATATAAATTGTTCAAACTTTCTGGTATATATATTATTTATAGAAATTTTAAAAACTAAGAAAATGCTTTTCATATTTAAGTTAACATAATCGTTTTTTTAAATCTGATATAACAAGCATTTTTCTTGAATAGTGCACAAGCAAATAGACATTCCAACTTGAAACTAAGATCAAAATAGGAGCTAATTATAAAAGTGGATAGGCCAGCCTTACATCAAGCATCAGCGACATCAGATTTTCATTTGAAATTATGGATCCCAAATTTTATATCAAATAATAATATTCCTCTGAGGCATTGCTCCAATAACAATATTATTAGAAAAATTTAATCTCATCAGAAATAGAATGGTCAGAAACTGGATTGTCTTTTAGAGAAACTGGTTGACATTACAACAGCTTAGAGAATAGTTTTGATTGCTGTTCATTTATAAAAATGTAATTATGCGAGAAAAAATATGTATCCAAATAATGGAAAATACATAAATCAACAAGAACTCACAAGCAATATTATAAATACAAAAGTCTGAGAATAATCGTGTGAGATGCATCGATCAGTTTGCAAATTATTTGGTTTTTAAAACGCCAGGATAATATTATTCATACTCTAAATGTCAGAATGTTAATGTTTTTAGTTTATATAAAAAACAGCCCAAGTAGAAGAGCAGACGGACTCTAAATAAAATTGGGCAGATATAATAAATCATATTAATCATATTTTGCTCGGACGGTGTGTGCAAAATTCCAAACGAAGCCATAATTTATCTATTCAATTTTTGCTAAAAAAATAAATAGAAAGGAAAACTAAAACAAAAGGAAAGGGTTACAAGCAATATCATTATATCAACAAACCACGTAAAATATTTGAAAATCATTCCAGAATGCAATTGTGTGAACTGCATCAACGACTTCGTAATTTACGAGCATATTTTGACACCAGAGCGTAATATATCAGTAATCTACTTACCGCTCCAACATAGCGTTAATAAAATTTATGTGAATGAATTTCGATCATGAATTGAAATAGCTCAGCAGCGGAATTTGTATTTCATGTAATGAATGAGGAAAATATCAAAGGACATCATTTCAACTAACAGCGAGCAATTATTCACTCACGCATGAGTACTAAATTATGTGACGCATGCACATCGGCCCAGAAATGCATTTCAGTCGTCATATCCATATGCTTTCAAATTCGAATGTCACAAAAATTAAATGATATATTTAGGTCAACGAACCATTTGGCAACGGTTCAATTTTTATGCAAGAGGAGGAAAGAGTTTTCAGGATAACTCGCCCATGAAATGAAAGTATTAGCACATAAAAAATCAATTAAGTATTTCCCTGCTAACGTACGAGGTAATAAAAATGTGATCAATATTTACGAATGAAGCGATTGTACTTATTGAAGTCGTATATTATTCTGTAAGAACAGTTATTATAGCATTTGCTTATATTTATCGGTACCTTAATTCGCGGAAAAGCGAATAGTTTCCCATAAAATGCATTTAAAATTATATATATATATATATGTTAATACATTTTATTTAGATACTTATGTAATATTCAAATATTTGTTTGCGATTTATGGCAGAAATATTTTCTTTTTTATATAAAATGATTAAAAAAGATTCAATATTTAAACATGTAGAAATTTTATAATCGTAAATTAAAATATGCATATGTTTACAAACACACAATATATATATATATATATATATATATATGTACAAGGTATCCCAGATCCCAACGACAAACCAAAACGTAGTGTTAGTATTGACCGAAACTGTCTAGGAAAATATTATGAACGAATTGTGTGTAAAATGCACTTGACACAATTGCATTGGCATTCTTTTGGTTTTTATTTTTCAATTCAATGAATTTAATCATTTTATCAAGTATTTTCCATTTTACAATCCTGATTAAATGCGCAAACTTTCCTACATAATTTATAACATTTTTTTGAAAAGCGAGCTTTATCAAAGTGAACTGATTTTAAAAGTTGATATTCAAAATTTGGGGAATTTGTGAAACTAGTTTTGGCTGTGGTCCTGAAAATGTTATCCATGGGTATTATTCCAAGATTTGAATGAAAAAAACTAATAGAAATTAACGACAATAACCGAAAAATAGTCACAATTTCACCAAAGCTCTAAGTTTATAAGCTCTAAGCTTATAATTTACAAACGACGTGAGATAATTTTTTTCTCATTTTTTTCACAAGAGTTACGGCCTATATGATCACCCCGTTTCGGCTTGACGTTGAGTTCTGAGACACCCTGTATATATATATATATATATATATATATATATATATTCGTGAAAAATTGTGTATAGAATAAGATAATTTAATTAAAAAAATATTTTCTACCAGTTGCTTGATGATTGTTGAATTTAAATATACCAATGTTTAATATTGGGAAAATGCTTTTTAATTTAGAAAAATGAGATTGAGTAGTGCTTCAAATTGAACTTTATAAAAACATTTTCAGTTGCTGATTCTGATAATAATATTATTATTATAGAAGTAACATACACTACATCAGAATGTAGGCTTTAAATGAAATTTATAGATTATTATAGTCAAAAAAGGCAAGGTTACCTAAAAATTACCAATAGTTCTTAATTTTAGGTAATTCGAACTCTCTTGTAAAGAAATGTACATTCAAAACCATTAATGGATCTAACGCAATCAAACTATAATTCTCATTTATAATAAATTCTTGAATAGTGGCAATATCATTACTATATTGAATACATACATAAGTCTCTTACCCCGAAAAGGCAAAAATCATCCAACTTTTCCAATTAGCGCCCAATTCGGCCGCAAGACAAACAATTATTAACTAGGTTGACAAAGTTTTCGAAACTGTCGAGATTATACCGTCGATAATAAGCAATAGAGTCAATTAAACGACAAATCTATTAGTTCAATATCGTGGACTGAAAATTATTTCTCTGATAGTTAAGACCCAATCAAACTATAACTTTGAATCCGCAGAACACTATTGGGTTCATGTGATGATGAAGTCAAATAATTACTAGATTGGCATGTCTGAGACTGCCTCAATTATAACTTTTGGACTAATTGCATGGTTTGTTCTTATCGTAGGTAAACCATTTTTACATTGTATGATTGTAAATTATTAGTTAAAAAGATATTTATTGGTGAAAGTAAATGATTATATATTATATTACATATAATAGAGATGACGATGTAAAATGTAATAGAAGTTAGAACAAAAATATTTGTAAACTTTGGTACTTATATTCAAAATTTAATAAAAGCTCTTTGAAATATTGCATTTTTTGTCTATACATCTACTAATGAAAAAATCGAGAAAACGTCTTTACAATAGTTTCAAAAATTTTATTTTTAGTTTTTGGAAATATTGACTAATGACAACTTCTGGAAAACATAAATCAATGCAAATAAATTAATCCTTACAGTACAAAATTTCTACAACCATTTTCTTAAAAAAAAAGTTGATTTATGTTTACTAAAAAAACTAAAAATAAATATAAATCTATATAAAATATTTACTAACAATAAGACTATTATTTAATCTTTATTATTATTTTTTAGGAAACCCTGACTTGCATATAGAACAATGTATGAAAATAACAAATTTTTACTAAAGTTACAGAAATTTTATGATTAGTTTTTGGAAAAAGTTGACTAATGGCAAATGTTGCAAAAACAAAAAACATCGTAAAAAAACTTAGTTCAGTGGTCCTATCCCGAGATAATACGAAAGCACCTGCTAAATCAGTAATAATTAACATGGTTATATAACAAATATTTTTTCTTGGAACGTTCTTTAAAATTAGTACCAGGACATATTTTGGTGTATTCATTATTATAAAATAAAAAGTAATTTCAAATATTTGATATTTTCATTAATCTTTAAATCTGCATTAGGAATAACTTCAAAATCTAATAGAATAAAAGTGTAAATCAATTAGTGAAATTTGAAATTCAACAATCAGACGATATCTTTACTGTTGGAAAAAATAAGGATATAATAATTTTTAAATTTATTTTTATCAATTATATTTGATTATATTATAAAAACGTTTATGTTCTTATAATAAAGAACGATATAAAACGCAAGATAATTATGAAATTAAAATAAATAATGAAGTGCTTCTACATGATTAGATTTAATCCAGAACGTCATTACGTTTAATTTTCTAATTAAATGCTTCAACTCCAATGAAATCTGATAACATGCAACTCGCTTGGGACAAACATAATTAAAATACTAAAACTATACTATATATGTTTGAATTCTTGTCACAGAATCGGGCAAAAATATTCTTAATACATTTTCGTATTTTTTATAGCAGGTGTTTTAAAAACTTTATATTAATTGTAATAACAGAAAAAATGTTTTCATCAAATAACAAAAAATAAAAAACTGTATACGATATGTAATATCTCTTCTTATGCAGAATTAAAATTATTTTCCATTGATATTCAAATAGAAAACACCACGTTTTACACAACGGACGAAGCTCTTGCACGTAATATGAAAACTTTTGAATAGAAAATATTAAATGATTTTCCAGAGAAGCAAAAAATATAGAAAAACTGATAAATATGTAAATACAGTACAAAAGACTACTGAACTGCATACATTTTACTTTTTAATATAATAATATAATAACTTACGTTACGTTTTCTTCACAGTTGTTGGCATATTTTACGGGAAAATCTGTAAATAAATTAAAAAACAGTTAACTAGAAATTTTGGAATTGTATTAAGAAAATCGTATAAAAATTTGTACAACTTACTTGATTTTAATCTTTGGTTTATGGCCCCATATCTGATCTGATTGCGATCATGAGGTAGTACATTCTGAAAAGAAAATTGTATTTTAATAATAATAATAATAGTTTTAATAAATTAATATTTTAATTAAAGTTAAATTAATATTTAGAACAAATATTATATTTGACAACCTCTAAATTATTGTCATCCACATAAAGAGTTTGCATTATGTTCCCTATTCAGAAACATTTGTTTAAGCGCAGATATAATGTCTTAATTTTATAAAGTACTTTATGAAAGAAAACTTGCAATACTAAACATGAATTATTAACATTAATATAGATAGAGAATATACAATAATTTATAGAATTTCTAAAATAATTTTATAGAATATTATGTAAATAAGATCACACTGCGTGACTGTGATTAAATGTTTTAAAATTTATTACATTTATATGGAAATATTATCAATACGGCAATCTATAGGTTTTAAATAATATGTCAATAAAATTATATTATCTTTATTTTAATTTGCAGTATTTTTATTCAAATGGGTCAATTCACAAACAAGTCGCAATTTGTATAAAAATAATATAATCAGTCATATCATCAAGGGTTCGCATCAGTAAGCAACCCCATTTTTGTGTTTTATTGCAAATTCCTTTGAGAAATTCCACCACATAAAATATTCAATTCCTTTTGCGAGATATCAACCCTTCTCGATAATCGATTCTGTAAATAAATGTTATGCATACATAATCGTGACGAGAAAAGTCTGAACGAAAAAGACATACAACATTAATCAATTTGAAAATTCAACGAAAACATAATGGAAGTCTCGACGCCTATGAAATTCACTTATGATTTCAAAAAAGGTGAATATTTTGCGTCTACAATGGGTTGTATTGTGTTGGATATTGTTGCTTCAATGTAGAACTATATGATAAAAGTGTATTATAGTTTGTATTGAAAAATGATGGATACGTTTTTGGGTTTCAATTATATCGTTAAAAATCCGATTAAATTAATACATTTTATTATTACTTAGATATTATTATTATTATATTATATTATTAATTTTTCAGAAAAAAATTGTCTATATTATTTATAAAGAAAATTAGCATATTAATGTAGTCCAATATGATGAGATTGTCACAAAAGATAGTTCTATGAATAATTGGAGAAAATCAGGAAGCTTATTTCTAATAGGTATCATAACTGAAGACAGAAATGAACTAAGTACATCAGCAAAAAACCATTCACGAATTAAGAAAAATGAAGCCTATCTAAAAAGTATCATAACTAAAGATGGAAATGAAAAATATACATCAGCAAAAAAAACAAGGAATTAGAAAAGGTTAAGCCTATTCCTAATAAGTATCATAACTAAAGACAGAAATGAACAAGGTGCATTAGTAAAAAAATACCTAAGAATTGAAAAAAAATAAGCCTATTTCTGATATTATAACTAAAGACAGAAATAAATGAGGTACTTCAGCAAAAAAACACCCAGAAAGTAATCTTTGCGGAGAACTATTACCAATGAGCTGAATTTCTTTTCTTATTTTTCTCAAATTCTTTTCATTAAATTATCATTACGTCTTGATAAAAAAGGCATTTAATAATTTTGGGAATATATGAGAATTATTAAATATAAATTCTGAAAGGTTACGCAGCAGTAAGCCTTTTTAACTCGGGATAAATAAAACTGAATTGTTAAGTCAAATGAGGTATTTTCTTAAATTTTGCAAAATATTAGGTCTAGATAATTTTTTGCATAAATCAGATACACAAACTGTAAGGTAGGCCTAAAAAAACCACATAGAAAGAATATACTGCATATTTAACAATTATTTTCTAATTTTTTTTAGGAAAAAACAGATTATTTTACGATGGCTTCAGATACCTTACGATTTAGATACCTTTTATGAGTTTTTTAGAGTACTCTACAATTTTCTTCAACAGCTATGCTACTCTTATCTTCAATTGACTGAATATCACTAATATTAAAAATATCTCTACTAAACCATACAACTGTACTTCACAATGAACCAGGCAATAATGATTCAGAAAAATAAGTTGTGTATAATTGCTGCTAAATATATTTGGCCTGCATATATATTAATATACATTCATACAGACGAATTGCAGCAAATATTTATATTGCTATTTCACTATTCTTGCCAAACCACTTTAAATAACAAAATTTCTTAGAAATGTATATCAATACCTTAAGTTAAGCGCTCAGAAACATAACAATTCTAAATCATGATGTCATTTTCTGCGCGAGTGAAATTAAAAGTTGGAAACATTTATCGAAAACAGATTATAGCTGCGTTTGTTTAATTGTGCTAAAAACCAAGCACAAGTTGGAAGTATTACAATATTACATAAAAATTAGAATATTTGCCTTCTTTCAAGTGTTCACACTATACTGATTGATCGATGCTGTTCCTTTCAAAGATTTAAATTGCTTGTGTACATATTACACATGAAATTAACACGTAAGAAAATCTACTATTTACCCACGCGGACGCATTACAAATCTTACATTGGTATTAGTAGAAGAGTCAAACATTTAAAGTACTTACATCTTCACCTAATTTACTTCTCTATAATCATATATATATATATATATATATATATATATATATATATATATATATATATAATAGTTACATGTATGATGTCGACACAAAAGCTACGAATACATAATACCTATTACATCTGATTTTATATTCTGAATTCTCCATTAAGCTTCAACCTATAATAGTTCTAAATCCTCTTAGCATCCTTATGCTATAAATGGCATGAATAATGGTGTTTGAAACACTTTTAAAAAATAAAGTGCAAATACTTATTTACTTACATACTTATTTATTTATTCATTTGCCTCATTTTTGGTTATATAATTAATTAAAATTTGACTAGCATATGTAAGTATGTATTTTATATTCATCCATATATTCATTTAATTTAATTATTCATCTGTCTATTTATTTATGAATGTATACGTATATAATTATTTACCTATAAAATTATTCATTTGTTCATTTATTTATCTATTCAATTATTCACTGATTCATTCATTAATTTATTTATATATTTACTTATTAATCTCAATGTGTATTATTTTATTTAATAAGTAATAATTTATGTATTTGAGTTAATATTCGCCTATTTAGATTAAAATTAATTCAAATTGTTGGAATCAGTTTAATTGAAACAATACATCATGCATCATAATACAAGTTATAATACAATATCTTGGGGCTCAACTAGTGTGAAATTTTCAAAAAATCGAATTTTTAATTTTTCCATATTTCGATAGGTTATACCTTTAAAAATAACATACCAAAATTTTTATTCGATATCTTAAATAGTTTTTGAGTCACAGCCATTTAAAGAGTATATATACAGTATGTAGTATAACAATCATTTAATCTCTAAATGCAATTTTCTCGAAACAGCATTTTCTGAATTTGCTGCAACGATTACTCAAAAACAAATGATCCGATCACTATCAATTTTTTTTTACATAATCTATATATAGTTCTCCGTAAAATAAACTATCGATTTTTTGATCGGATCAAAAATCGAATTTTGGCAGACCAAAATATTGGGTAAAATTCGATTTTTATAAAAACGTTGTCATTTTGTCAATTTTTGATTTTTTTTCTTTATCGTAGTTAATTTTACAGACAATATTATCTAGTTTAACGAGATTTTTTTTTAATTTCATCCACGTAGGAAAGAAGGAAGGACTTTCTTGTCCGTTGGAGATCGACGATAACTTAAAAGATGTTTATTTTTTTCTTCAAAAATTTTACTATGTATTCTTAAAACACGTATAAATTTTGAAATGATTGATAGAGTAGTTTTTTTAATATAAATTCCCAAAAGTCACCTTTTTTTGAGCGGTTACACTAGTTGTGCCACTTAAAGTGTATTATTTACTTACAGAAACCATATTTTGATTACTTTGCTCATTTTTAGCCAAATCTTGTAAAATGTAATGTTACAAAATATTTTGAGGTATAGAATCGAGATAATCACAAGATAAAGTGGCACAACGTGAGAAAAATGCCTATTGATTTATTACTAGAACGGATAGTTTGAAAATCTTATATTTTTTTCACACAAACCTATTGGAAAAAATAACCAGTAAAATCGTTCAAAAATAGTATTCTCTGTGACATTTTTCTCATAAAAAAATTCTCTTTTTTATCTATAAAATTGATTTGAACTATTTTTCTACAATTCACACTACTATATATTCCAACATTATTGACTCTGTGTAACTGAAACGATTCTCTAGGTTTGCATATTTTTTAATTAAAATTGAATTTTCATTTGAGATAATAACACGATTTGAGATCATAGTAATAGTAATTGTATTTTGCCCAATAGTTACATTTTAATTTAATATTATAGTGCATAATATAATTTAAAATTTAAGAACAAACAGGATATGATTAGGACAAAACTGTAGACATAATGTCTAAGAATGTAATTGATCAATTATATAAAAACCTATCAAAAATAAACGCGTCGAATAATTGCATAGAATACAGAGTACTGCCAATATGTATAAAAACCAATGTTCTTAATTAATAATTTATCAGCTATTAGTACTATTTAGCTTAACCCACGATATACCATAAACGATTTGGTTTGCAAGAAACCATTTCCTTTTATCCGCAATTTAAAAAAACAGTAATTTCAATTTAAATTCTTTTAATCACATTCAACGTACCAGCAGTTAAGTTTCCAATGCAAATTTTCCATCTGCCTTATTAGAATAGTTTATTGATTTTTAACATGCAAAACACATCGGAATAATGATGTCATTACCATTGCCGTAACCGAAATTCATAACCCAATAATTGCAAAATAGGCACGAAGTCTTACAACTTTCTCTAGTTATCAACATGTAGTTTGTCAAATAAGATTATTGATTTACGACGCAGTTATCACCACGTTCGAGGACAAAAAGACAAAGACTCATTGTCAGTGATTTATTTGTAAACTAAGACATACTCTAAAATTTTAAAAATGTGTCGTAAGATATGTTAATAACAGCTGCACATTGTGATAATGTGGTGCTAAATAGGAAAATAACTAACAAAATATAGGGAAAAGTCCCGTAACGCCGGACGGCACCAAGGACCGGACACTCTATTTAACACATATTATTCAAGAGAGTATAAATCTTTTCATTTCAAAATACTAGTGATAGGAGCGCGGGGGGCACATAGGCGCAGGATCACACGCCAAGACTCAACTGTGACGCACACGGCCACGGCGGTAGCAACCCTTTGCTGTTTTGCAAAATCACGGCGTCACCTAAATATCATTTAAGTGATTCTAGTATACTCATGCATTTACATGTGAGTGGTATGCAAAGATAAAAGTAGTACTTGATTGTTATCCGTAAAATGGTAGAATATCATTAGATCTTTTAACCAATTTTAGTAGGTGCCATCAAATGAACCAAAATATCTGTCCTTTGCACCAGACACTAAGTAGTTCCTTAGTGCCGGACAGTGAACATATTGATATTTCTTGTGAGAATTTACGAAAATTATTCCAATTATTTAATTTTATTTTGTATGAGTGCTAACGGTCACTACATACCCACATTTTTCGTATTTCCTAGTCAAAGAATGAAAAGCTTATGAATGCACCAGCTGAGAGCATCGGTGTGGCCCAGTCAGAAGGGTGGTTAAATAGTGACTTTTTCTGAAATATCTAAGAATATTTGTCAAAGACACATGTGCAGACATTCTAGAGCGTGGAGATTGCTACATATGTGATCAATGCAGGTTATTTTCAAATGTCCGGTACTAGGTGCCACTTTTTAAACTAACTAACTTTGCTATTTACATTTCGTAAAATATTATTTAATTTATTTATAAATAACCTTAGGTGTCCTCTACTTGGGGACTTCCCCCTATTCTTACTTAAATTATGAGTTTTAATATCAATTTTTTCAATCTACGTCATTTGAATGAACTCATTAAATATGATAAAATTATTTAACTTACTTTCGATCTCTGCACGTGCAAGCTGTTACTTCGAAGAAAATGCGGCGGTTGCATTGCACAACAGCAAAATAGTGCATCAGGATCAATTTTCGTCACCCACATAGGATCATGCTGTATGGAATTAATACACCCACTTCTACCACAAACACAAGGTTTAAGCACCAATCCAACTCCGTCACTATGTCTAAAACGTTCAATTCTATCACTACAAAATCTGCACAGAGAATGTTGCTTTTTTGATGGTTTGGGTTTAGGATCTAATTCATTTAAAGCGTCGTAATTAACGAAGCTCAAGTCGTTGTAAGATACATGAGTGTCAATTTCCTGAAGCGACTGTAAGGATGCTGACCATCTGCAACTGAGCCTGGATGAAGCTACAGAGTTAGTCGAAGATGGTGGTCGTTTAGATTGCAAATCTCGGTTAAAACTCAATGTTCGTCTTAATCCATTTTTTATTGTATCCAAAGATGTGGCAATTTTTTCTAAATGTCTAGAAAACGATGGTTTCCTAGTTAATGGCGAGTCGGGAAGTCCATCTTCATCTGGTATAGTTTCCAAGTCTTCTCTGATTGTATTTGGATTTTTTCTGCGACTTCGATAGAGAAAACTAGCCGCACTGGCACTTCTTTCCAACCGTGGAGGAGGTGGTGGTGGAGCAGGTTTGCTCTCAACCGGCGTAGGTTTTGCTTTCTTATGTTTAGCTTCGATCTTCGAAAGCCCGTCGATGACATTGGCATCCCTACGCTTTTTAACCTTGATTCTAACTGGCGACGGCGGTTTTTCCAAAACGACATCCTTAGTACCGTTGCTTGGTATAGAAGAACGTCTAACTTGTTTATCAGTTTTTTTCGTCTCGACTTTGCCATTGACTCGCTTCTTCTTATCATGTCCATCGCCTATTTTGATTTTATGGTTTTTATTATTATCAACCGTTATTGTATGTGGGACATTCACACCATCCACTTTTTCTTTAATTTTCTCTTTAATCTTTTTTGACTTTTTCGTACTGCCCCGATGCATTGTGAGTTGTTTGAGAAAAGCATGTACGGAAAATCAGTAACTTGGTATTTGTTTACGATAAAGGTCATTTCAATATAAAATTTAGTTTTTAAGCTGTCATTTAAAAGCTTTAAAATTGTGCCGTTTTTGGCTTTGATTAAAATGTTTATATAAAATGAATAGAGCAGTTACCGGTACCATAATTTACCCACAGATTGAACTGTAAATTTGGACAAAATAACATGATTACAAAAATTTGAAAAACACTGACACTAAATTCACACTTTTTACGAAAATTTCATTGTTTTTCAAATGTTTATGAAATTCAAATAAATGTGTATTTGTTATGTATTTGCATCAGTTAAGTTTAATGAAGGAATTTTTAAAGGATAAAAATTGTAACTTAATGTTACATTAAATGATATCAATACAATCAAAACAGACAACTGACAATTCTTTAGAGTAAAAAAAATAAATGTTAAAAGCTATAATTACTGATAAAATGTATTTTTCTAATTCAAATTTGAAATACAAATTCCAACCAGATCAAGCAAGAGCTAGCAGAGAATATGTATAATATCTAATAGTATAATTTTATATCTAATAATATAAAAAATGTTTCCGAATATACGCCTCATATACTAATTAAATTAAATAAAAATATTTCATATAAATTTATAAATGTAAAAGAGCGCAGCTTATCTTATAAAAGTTTTATTGAATTATCAATGAGGATGTTCTACTATCTCATCAAGAATGACTTTGTTCTGTTTTTATCCTTCAGACAATTTATACATAGGACTGATCTATTATATTTTCTAGGAGTAGGAGTATAATATGCAGTCATGCAAGATGTTAAGCATGGATTACTATGAGAAGGAAAAATAACACGAGATGATGAAAAGTATTAAAAAGGAAATATTATAGTAAAGTCTATATGCACGTTCTGTTTGCGCAAGTAATATTATTTATTCGAACTTTAAAAATTGTAAGAGAGATATTGTATTAATCGTAAGAATGTAACGTTATTGAATTATTATTTGGCCAACCTGATGATATGAAGCAATACATCTATTTTGACATGGAATTAAATTGTAAATCAAAATTTTGTTTGCAAAATAAAATAGCCCTCGGGAACTGTTGTACAAGAAGTGTTGTTGCTTATACAAAAATAAAAATAATTTAGGAGGGACTGGGTACAGTTGTGCCAGACGGTGCGGTATTTAGAGTGGTCAAAACTATAGTGATTTTAAGATAGTGTACAAAAGGAGAAAGATGAAGTATGTTTGTTAGAACAAGTTTTCATTGTTGTATTAAGTAATCGCCCTACATTAACAAAGATATCTTGTTCAAAAAATATGTTTTATCATATATTGTTATAATATATTTAAAAGCTACTTTTAAAAAATAATCTTGTGTTCTGACAATAAAAGTATTTATAAACCGTTTTGGTGCTAACAGCTGTTACAGCTGTACTGGGGGTGTGGGCGGTTGTGCCACTTGCCCTTTTTTTTTGTATGATTTCATTTTATGACAAATCCGTCATATTTAAAGACAGAATTTCAGTATTTTCACGTTGACAAATGTTCAAATCAAAACCATTTAATTTAATTTATTTTTCTTCTAGCTAAAAATTATTGCTAATTAAAAAGTGACACAACCACTCCCAGTTTCCCCTATATTAAGAGTCGATTTGATAAAATTTCAATAAACATGAAGAATAATAGGATATAAAAACAATGTAGATTGTTTGCTCTGGGAAGGAGAAGATATTACATAATTTATTAACGTCAGTTGCAATTTTCAAAAGTACCACATATTTTATTTTGAGAATTATCATTGAATTGTTTTATCCATGTGCAGTAAAAATATGCTTATTGTTAGCCATAAAAGAAGTATGTGTAACAGTAGGTGCAATGTATGCAGCACGTGAGATGCATTGTATGTCGAGTCCGTGTGGGCAATATTTTCTTTATTAGCCAACTATATATAAAACCTACGACGGTTATTAACGGTTTATCCAAACACAAATCTTGCACATGACTAATCGCCTGTGATACATACACTCCTCGATTTGTCACGCCAGAGATATACACGTGAAATTTATATGTTCCAAAGAACAACACCGTTTGAAGGAGACCGCTCCGTGAAATTATCCGTTCGATAAAGGAATCAAAGGTGCTGAAGGCTTGTGAAAACATTTATTTTGTTGTAAAAAGCCATTTACGCTTTCCGCATCTTTTTAGCAACGAATGTCATTAATCGAATACCGTGAACTTCATTATCCCTTAAGCGTCCTCTTCTACGTTTCAAACACCCATAAATATTGGCCAGCATTGCCAAAGGTTCATTAGAATTAGAAAATTCATTTCGCTTGCATTTTTAGTTCCAACCATCCATATAAAGGACTTTATTTTAAAGGATTCTACTTCTATTCTATACTTTATTCTACTCTATATCATGTACAATTGATTTTATATCTCATGTACATAGACAATAAAATAAACATAATTGAAAAAAAATTCAAGGTTGTAGGTACTGTCAAAGAATACTTTTTATCGCATCAATGTATGAGAGAAATTAAAAAATAAAATAACAAAAAATAGTAAAATATTCAAATGAACGTGAAACAAGATTTGTACGCGAAATATGTAAGAAAATATTATTTTAATGTAATTAATAAACTTACGTTAAATTACAATTGGCAAAACGTAAAATTAAATGTAATTATTTAGGTATTTTGAATCAATTTTCTTTCTCTTTTCAAACAAAAATTGAAATAATACAGTTGTTTTATTTTTTAACTATTACTAACAACAAGCTGGATGAAATACTATTGTTTTTATATTATTGTCGGTTTTACCGCTTTTTGTCGTCGATAGAATCTATTTTCTCCAAAGTGATATAAATAAATGTCGCGTTAACCCAAATTAGAATTTTTATTGTCATCATTTCTTATGTAATAGTTTATTTTACATTTTTATGACAGATTTTTCAAAAGATTACATATATGTAATAAAGTGTAATATGTATAGCTTATGCTATATATATTACGCTAATTTCGCCTTTTTATAAATAAAATGATCTAGAAACAATTTAATTTGCTAAAATAAGAAAGCATATTTTTTTAAGAAATTTAGAATAGCAATAATATTATAATTTTGATAGACAAGACCAGGGCTTCTTAAACTATGGGTCTCGACCCCAAATGGGGTCGCGTAGGAAAATTCTGGGGTCGCGAGAGTTTTGTCATAAAGTTCAAAAGACAATATTTTAAAATACTGAAGAATAAAAATTTGGACATCAATGCTCAATAAGCAGATCTTCAAGGTTAGCAAAAAGAAGCAGGACAAAATATATGCAAAAGATTGAAAGAGGAAGCAATATGTTATACACAAAAAGATGTAACAGTCTGGTGTTGGTTGATTATGCAAATAATTTATAGAAAAGTGGTCATCATTATAATTCATTTCTTATTTGAAATATTATAGCACATCGTTTTATATAAAAAACAATTAAAGAAAATTACAAACACTATATAAGGCGTTTTAAATAAATGTATTTTCAACATTTTCAGATAAAAAAATAATTCTCTTCATTATTTTAATATTAGACGATCATTTATTCAACGCAATGAAGAATTTCATTTCGGTGTTATTTATATTTTTGCAGGTGATGTTTACAATGCTGTGTTTCACGATTTCATTAATGACTGATTATTATTATAACGATATTTCATTTTGACATATAAACATATCGCATGAAATTATAAATAATGGTGTAATGTTTTGCAATAACGACTTAAATAATTTAGAAATAAATATATGCGTCGAATTTCTAATTAGTCAGCAAATCTAAATACTTCTCAACTCGGTAAATAAGCTAATTGCAAGTGTAGCAGTTTTTTTCCAAAATTAGTAAAATACGTGGGCAGAAATTTCTATGTGATACACATCGAAGCTGACATCACTGACGAGAGACAAAAGTGACTAACACGAGTTTCTTCAACATTGAACTTTAGTCAAAATGCAAATTATCTAAAAGTCATAAATTTTTTCTTGCGAAGCTATTATAGATGTAGATTATTGGAACTAGTTGTATGACAGTTTCGAATAATACTTGTAAAAGAGTCATTGTCATCTTAGATCGTAAAATTTATATTTTATTAATATTTTTATAACTCAAACAAGTTATTCTTATGCGGACTATGTAAAGACAAGTGCATATCTTTGATATGTAATTAAAATTTGTAAAATATAGTTATATTAGCCTGTTAAATGTAAGTGATAAAAATTATCTAAATGTTAATTTGCCTTAGCTTATAGTTAGTTACTTTTCATAACTAAAAGGTTTATTACTGAGTAATATTTTAGAAAAAATAAATTTAACTACAATCTAATTTCTGAATGTTTTCAGAAGACTTGTAATTTATATGGTAATAAAAAAAATTAAATCTAAAAAGTTACAAATTGCAGAAGGTTGGAACATGTCAATACTACTTGCTTGAATATCATAGTTCAGATTTTTTTAAACCAAATTCTGTAATTTTATCAAAATTATTATTTTATATTATTTAGTTAAAAATGTATCAAGAAAACTTATAGTATCAAAAAAAATTGCCAAAATTCCTAGTACAACACTATTTTTAATATCACACATATATGACTGATATAGCCCTATATTAATACTTTTTTTCTTGATGTATTGCAGTCAGACAAATATGTCTGACATGACTCATGTAGAACTTCTTAGCGTTTTTAATGTGTTTAAAATAAAAATTTAGGTGTTGGCAACAAAGTTTTAGTAATCAAGATAATTCGTAAAAAAAAACAAAAATGATATCAATATTATAAACATTTTCGTTGCAAAATTTGTATGATTTTGTAAAAACTGTCCGTTTCTAGAAATATTTTGATAAATGCGGAGAGCAAAAATACCGATTTCTGATAAATTATATGACATCATCGAGATAAATATAGTTAAATATTGCACATTCGCACTTGCTAAATATATATTGTCAGTAGCATGAACTAGAATAATTAGTAATAGCTGACTAATTAATTATGTATTCAGCGATATTGTCATAATCGAACATATTATAAAGAGCTATAGCGGATGTTGCCTCGGATGCAATTAAAATTCATTTAAGAATATCTGAGAAAGCATGTTATTAAAAACTCGTTAGAATTTTTTTTTTCATTTTTGCGATAAAAGAATTCTGAACATGCAGTTTACCATACCAAGCATTGTACAGGAAATAATATAGACTTAATTGTTTATTATGGAAGAAAAATATTTGTCACGATATTACAGTTGGGCTGGTCTAATTTGTAATTCATATTATGACTCATTTACTCCGTACGCAATAAACTAGTTGTAAGTAGCATTTCACCATAAGGCAAGTTATCTAATTGATATATAATCAACGTTGTTCAAATGTACTTATATTTGTAATTGTATAAATTAAATTAATTTGCTTAAGTCATTTCATTTATTCTATTTCGTGTTTTAAAAATGTATTTATTTGGGTGTGAACGTTAACTGTAATCAGTAGCTATCTATGAAACATGGGGTCTTTGGTATAGTTCATGAATAGAATCGCTTAAGCGCATATCGAAATTCTAAACCTTGATGATTTTTTCAACATAATCGACAATCAACAACTAATCAACGCGATTCCCAACTAAAGATATCCGAAAGATATTTTTCGAACAGTTTTTAAAAATCGATTTATGATTGAGGGCTAAAATGTGAACGAAAAATTTTACACTTTTTTACTAACTATAAAGAAAAGGTTCAGACAATCGTCTCGCAAAACTAAAGAGTCCTAACTAAAGTCCTTATCCAGTTACATTGAATGGCTTTTAAATTTTTGATCATTAGTTCAGCCGTTTATTAAGAAAACGTCCACGAAAAGTCAAATGCACAAAAACACATTCTTTTTCCTAATTTGGCCTCACTCGATTTTTCTTTGAGAAGTTAAAACAGTAATTATTTATATATTAATGATTAATTACATACTTTCTAAAATTTAATTAGTAAAATTGAATATAAATGATTTCGAAATAGCAATGTGTGTAAACAACAGAATTGCGTTGTGTTTAAACAATCAGGTAATTGCATATTTCAAATATTGTTGTTAATTTGTAATAATGGAGTTTCAACAAAAATAAGTCATTCGAGTATTTTATTATTACTTTTTATCAAATACTCCATTTTTATCAACGTAAATATAAATCAGCGATAAAGTATTAATCAATAACTTAATAAAATTCAGAAAAATATTATCATATTAATGTGAATGTGATACATCTAGCTGTTCAATTAAATTCAAAATTTTGATTGTTATATGGAACACTCAATTTTTATCATCATAAAAATTACATAAAGCGATAATGTATTAATCAATAACTTAATGAAATTCGAAAAAAAATTTAATCATTAATGTGAAAGTAGTAAAATTAGCTATTAAATTAAATTAAAAATTTTGATTGTTATATTAAACATCTAATTTTTATCATCATAAAAATTAAATCAGCGATAAGGTATTAATAAACAACTTATAATTTGAATAAAAAATGTTATCATATTAATGTGAAAGTAGTACACTTAGCTGTTAAATTAAATACAAAAGTTTGATGTTATATGGAACACTCAATTTTTATCATCATAAAAATTAAATAAGCGATAAAGTATTAATCAATAACCTATAATTCGTAGAAAATTTTTATCATAATAATGTGAAAGTATATTCGGCTGTTAAATTAAATTTTAATTTTTGTATTAAATTATGACAGTATTTGCTAATGAGATCAAGCAATTAAATATTTTAAAATTTGTAATAAATGGAGTTTAAATAAAAAATTCTCACTGCATGTATGTAAAATTTTTGATGATTACTTTTTTACTTATCAAACACTATATTTTTATCATCATAAACATAAATCAGCGATAAGGTGTTTATCAATAACTTATAATTCAACGAAATTTTTTATTTAATTAATGTGGAAGTAGCTGTTAAATTATATTTAAAATTGTAATTTTTATATTAAATGTTGACTGTATTCGCAAAAGAGTGAAGAGACAAGGTTGCGCGCACTGGTCCACACGTTTCAATCAGAAATAAAATAAAATTCGAAGAAATTGTTTATCATAATAATGTGAAAGTAGTATATTCAGCTGTTAAATTAAATTTTGATTTTTGTATTAAATTATGACAGTATTCGCTAATGAGATCAAGTAATTAAATATTTCAAACGTAATAGATGGAGTTTAAATAAAAAAATGTCACTACATGTATGTGAAATTTTTGATGATTACATTTTTACTTATCGAACACTATATTTTTATCATCATAAACATAAATCAGCGATAAGGTGTTTATCAATAACATAAAATTCAACGAATTTTTTTTATCTCATTAATGTGAAAACTATTAAATTAAATTTAAAATTGTGATTTTTATATTATATGATGACTATATTCGCAAAAGAGTGAAGAGACAAGGTTGCGTGCACTGGTCCACACGTTTCAATCAGAAATAAAATAAAATTCGAAGCAAATTTTTATCATAATAATGTGAAAGTAGTATAGTCAGCTGTTAAATTAAATTTTGATTTTTGTATTGAATTATGACGGTATTCGCTAATGAGATCAAGTAATTAAATATTTCAAAAGTAATAAATGGAGTTTAAATAAAAATTTGTCACTACATGTATGTGAAATTTTTGGTGATTACTTTTTTACTTATCGAACACTACATTTTTATCATCATAAAAATAAATCAGCGATAAGGTGTTTATCAATAACATATAATTCAACAAAAATTTTTATCTCATCAATGTGAAAGCTATTAAATTAAATTTAAAATTGGGATTTTTATATTAAATGTTGACTGTATTGGCAAATGAGCGAAGAGACAAGGTTGCGCGCACTGGTCCACATGTTTCAATCAGAAATAAAACAAAATTCGATCATAAGAAAATTTTTATCATAATAATGTGGAAGTAGTATTATTTAGCTATTAAATTCAATTCAAAATTTAGATTTTTATATTAAATTTTGACAGTATTCGCTAATGAGATCAAATAATTAAAAAAATCAAAACTTGTAATAAATAAAGTTTAAACCAAAATTTGTCACTGCATGCATGTGAAATTTTTGATGATTACTTTTTTACTTATCGAACACTACATTTTTATTATCATAAACATAAATCAGCGATAAGGTGTTTATCAATAACATAAAATTCAACGAATTTTTTTTATCTCATTAATGTGAAAACTATTAAATTAAATTTAAAATTGGGATTTTTATAATAAATGTTGACTGTATTCGCAAAAGAGTGAAGAGACAAGGTTGCGCGCACTGGTCCACACGTTTAAATCAGCTGATCAAATAATCCGTTGCCAGAGAGAGACTCCGTTTCAACACTCACCACACATTAACATTAAAACTGCACTTTAGCATAAGAAACTTGTATTCAATTTCAACACTGCACACACTAATAAATCACTTAATAACCCACTTCAATTCGTTATCGAGTTCTGCGTAAAAATTGTTATTACTATTACCAGGTAACCGGCGGAGATGATCGGCGCACTTAGCGTGTCCAGAGGCACACCGGCCCGCGGCCGTGCGTACGGCGGCGGTACACTCAGCGAAATCACTTCGCAATAATCATGACGGCGGCGTAAAGAACGCTTCGCATATATTACAGCAAAACACAATACGACACCTCATCAATGACTGATCGTGAATGCTGCAGACCCGTACGGCCGTGCGATCGCACTGGCTCGATTACATAATGACAAATGTAGCAAATGTACGTTTCAATTTGCCAGTGTTTATGTTTTTATTCCTGCCTACCGACCTGACGTGCATACGGCGCACTGTGTACCTGTATAGCAAACGTACGTTGTTTGATTTTTAGTCTATCTAAACTTCGAGCGAACGCAAACTTCAGGTGCTCTGATAAGCGGCGGGACATTTTAGATAACAGCATATTGTATAGCGTATTGTATATCATGCGCTAGTGCACAAATCAATGAGATTTTTTATAATGTATAGTCACACCATCTAATTAGTGAGATAAGGTCAATAGGAAAAGGGTATTAGATAATATATATATATATATTGGATACTAAGGTTAAAAAAATTATCTGAAAGTTGTAAGAGTGATCTCCTAACGGAAAAAACGATAAAAAGTGGACATCATTAGCCAGCCAGGAGGTATAAGATCAAACGTTACAAATTAATTGCTAAATGTTTATAATTAAACATTTATTTACTTTATTTTTTATTATTTTTTTTTTATTCAATTGAGTTGGAGTTTAACTCAGCTCACGGACCTGCCCTAGGCATTACTTTCCATTATAATTCAATTGATAAATGTATAGTTAGAAATTTATAAAAAGAAATCGATATCCAATGAATAGGAGCTCAATGGCAAAGCCCAAGGGGTTTAGGACAAAAAAAAGTTTGGGCATCTATGATCTAAAGCAGAAAACTGAATGGTTAAATTCGTTAAACTAATTTGAACTGAAACTATATTCTCACACATATTTTGCTCTATGAGTCCAATCCGGTGAAAATAGGTAGTCTAAAACCTAACCTGGCACAAACGTCAGAATTTAACATTAGATTAACTTCACAAAAGTTATTATTGTTACTTGAAATTACATTGCATTGTTACTTGAAATTTGTACATTTGGAGGTTAAGATTTAGAAGTCGATATAGTGCAAAAGTTTTTTATTATTATTATTATTTTTGAACAGCAATCAGAACCTTACGTCCTATGAGCTGTTGGACTGAAACTTCTCCTCACTTCGTATTTTTAGATGGTAACCCAATGGTTAATCCATCCATATTTGAAGATTTTTCTTATTACAATTAATCTAATCGGGCTGACTTTTTATTGATGCAGCAATGCCATGCAAGGGCTATTTTCACTTGGAAACATATTGCTATCTATATTTACAAGTGAAAATCGTTGTCACTGCTGCCTGACAACAGGCTGCTCGAAGTGGGTATCGAATCCGGGACCTCTGAAACAAGTCCCGTCGCTCTTAACCGCTTACCTACGGGCGATCCCGATAAATCAATAGAGTTAGAGTTTAACCCAGCTCACGGACCTGCCCTAGGGCTTCCCATTATTATTTAATTAATAAATGTATAGAAAATTTTAAAAAATCGATATCTAATAAATATGGCAAAGCCCAAGGGCCTCACGACGAAAAAACGTTTTGGCATCTATGATCTAAAGCAAAAAGCTGAAAGGCTAAATTCGTTAAACTTCTCTAACATATTTTACTTTATGAGTCCACTTCTCCGGTTAAACAGTTATATGTATTCTAAAACCTAACCTGGCACAAACGTCAGAATATAACATTAGTTTTACTTCACAAAAGTTGCATATAGGATAACATTGTTATTTAAAAGGATAACAATTATATTTGAAATTTGTACAATTGGAGGTTACGATTTAGAAGTCGATATAGTGTAAAAGTGAATTGCTAGATTGTATAGCATGACATAGCTTTTTGACTGTTCGTAAATACTCATATGATTATTTAATAAAGAGACTTCTTAGAAGCCGATTCTGCCGTAATATAGATCAATGTTATGACAAAGCTATTTATGTTACAGTTTTCTTATAAAGTGGTACTAAAATTCAATTTGGTTTCTGTGCAATCAGGCATTTTAGATGGAAAACCTAGTCTAGAAAAAACACAAATGTCAAAAAAACGATATGTTATCATAACTAAGTGAAGTTGCATTTTATGTGTAAAGTGCTGTTGCTTGATCGCACAGCAATTACATGACATTTTGACAGTATTTTGTAACATTTTGTCTGAAAACTGGAACGTAGCATAGCTTTGCAATAACATTGGTCTATTTTACGCCAGAATCGGTCGATTAGACTGTTAGATGTAGCCTAAAATAACTATTTTATTCTGATGATGATAGGATGATCAATATTGAAGGTAAGAACATATAGTTTTAAATTGTTTATGATTATTAAAATTATAAATATGACTCATTCTTTTACAAATACATTGGGAACTTTCCTGAATAGAACAACAATTACAATCGCCATAGTTCACCTTGCAAATATTATCAACAATTGTATAATTGGGAGTTTTGGATTTTAAGAAAGAAAAAAGAGAGCTAAATGTATTGCCAAATATAAAATCTTTTTGTGAAAATATGTAACCTTTTATATAAAAAAGGTTATAAAAAATATAACCTTTTTGTAAAAATATATTTTATAAAAAATAAGACCTACTCGAAAACAAAAATATTGAAAGTCATATGATTCTCGAAACGTACAATTTAGAACAAATATTATATTTTATTGAAGGAAAAAATGAAAATAATATCTATGAACATCTGTATTTGAAATATATGTCGGCTTCAGCGTTATTGTCAATAAATTGTATATGCTAGAAAAAAACAGAGCGAGCATGCTTCATATTTTGTGCTGTTATCTCAGAGTTTACGGTAATCTTGTCTCGAAATCCAATTAAATTTGATTAGCTGAAAGTCGAAAGCAAATAACAACGTACCTGCATATTGTTTGTCAAGAATTTTACGACACATGGATTTGGTGTATTTAATTGAATTATGCTTTTTCCATACAAAGCTGGATTAGTATTGTTTTCAATAAATATTTCCTATATTTATTGCTACGATTACTGACCTTCTTATATTACATTTCTATCAATCAGTTTGATTAAAACGTGCAGATTGTATAAAAGAAACTTTTAATTAAAACTCAGTCAACTGTAGCTAATTAACCTGATTATTAATATTTTTGTAAAGTTAATTAGTAAATAAATTCGTTATTAACGATGACAAAATTGTCCACCCGTGACGTGAAGTGCTTCAAGGCCAGTTGGCCTTGTACGATTTCATTGACAATATGTTTTTATGTGAAATTTATGATTGATGTAAACAGCATAAAATGGAGAGCAAAAAATTACTTACAACAAAGTATAACGTAAACTGTATGTAACAACCTGTATGAAACTCACGTTGTGACTAATTATTGCACCAGAATAGTGAGAATGAGAAACAGACCGTCTGATGAGAACTTTGTTCGATCTTGTGAATCGACTCTGTTGCAACAAAAACTCTATTGTTTATAAAGTTCGCGACTTATATTGCTATTGATTTGTTACGAACGTGATGTTTTCATCTTGCAGCTAACAATACTGCAGGCCATTCCGAACCACCTACGGGAAAATAAACAGTCGGCTGACCCATTTTGACCTCCTGCTGAGGTCCATTTCTTAGAACACCGTTTTTGCGTTAACGATCGAAATTAAGACATTGTAATATTAATAATTTATTGCTGGATACAACAGAAGATGCTCAGGTTCCGCACAAGTCAGAAAATGATTATAGAACTATGTGTCTACTTTCGCAGCAACTTGATTAACTAATACTTGTACTTGGATAATCCATTCATAAAACATAGCATCCCAGAGGTTCTTAAATATATATTGTAACGACTTAAGCGTAAATTATATTAAGTTTTTTTGCTCTTACTCATCACTGTAGAGCAAAAGAAGTCTTTTATATCAGAAAAATTGAAATATGAAACGACAATACTACAATTGTTAACTATTTGTTTATTATAAACTCCGTCACTATATACTATCTCGAAAATTAATTTTTTGTTATAAACCTAAGGTTTTTTATGAGCTGTTGTGATGAATTACTCACAAACTACGTCGATTTTTTTGTAGATAGCTACCCAAATATAATTGTCACATATCTATCTGATCATTGCGATTTTACTGATTTACGCAGAAATCTCGGATAAGGACTATTTTTACTTACAATAGACGAATTACTCACAAACTGCGTCGGTTTTTTGTAGATAGCTACCCAAATATAATATCTATGTGATCATTGTGATCATTGTGATTTTACTGATTTACGCAGAAATCTCGTATGACTAATTTTACTTGGAAACATATTGCTACGTATATATATTTTCAAGTGTTATACTGCTTCACATCATGCTGCCCACAAAGACTATCAAACCAAGGATTTCTGATAAAATTTATTGCAAAATTATCTTCAAATTAGGGACGATACAGACATCAAATCTTTAATTTTCGTTGTGTGATATAATCGCATTTTAGATGAAGTGCCTATTAACTTTGTTGAAGAATAAAAAATTGATTCTTTCACCTTCAGAATCAATTTCTAATAAACCATATAAAGCTTACTTGAAGGTATATATTACATATGGAGATATATGAAATTAAAGAAAACGTATTGAATTAACTAGGGTAACACTAATTTAACAATATTGATTTCATAATATATTTTACAAAGCAATGTAGAGAACTTCAACATATAATCATGACTCTGATCTACAAGAATATGAATCTGATATAAAAATGGCATGGGATTCGTAAACTAAAAGATCATAGAACGTTGTTCATATATAAATTATATATTTTTTTTATCAAAACTAGTTAGAATCGTAAAAATAGCCGCTATCTTAAAGGACAGAACTTAATTGTGAAATAGCGCATTATAATCCTGGCTTTAAAAGGCACTTCCCGACACACGCGAATGTAAAATTACAATCTTAATGGGTTTGGGATTTTGTAAGATTTGAACAAGATTTTATTGGCTGTGAAATATCAGTGCAAGGACGAAACATCCTTGTTCATTTTGACTCTGCGATTCCGTTATCTATAATAGAAATCGTTATATTGCAAATTTTTACATCAAAACGGAATATAACAATTGATTTTAAAAATCTGATCTAAAATTTCAGAATACCGATTTGGAATTATAAAAGTTAATAGATATTGATAGAATTTAATAAAATGTCTTATTATATAAGGTTTTTATATCCTATAT